GCGTAGTTCATGTAGTCCGCCGTTTTGTCATAGTTGCGCCTACCGCCCAGCGCGTTCCAAAATACATCGTTCTCGCCCCCCTCGGAGACTGTCAACACTTCTGTCTTGTCCTGCAAAAAAGCCAAGAGGGCAATATGGCTTAGAAATAACAACAAAATTTGTGTTATTATCAACTGTAATAGTGGTGGTAGCAGTAGTAGATTCATTGGCACCGTAAATGTTATTGGTGATAGCGGCAGTAGATGTAGTATTTATATTAGTGGGTAACTGTGCACCGATCTGTTTCAGGGTGTACCCATCCTGGTTGATGCCTTGGTTGCGAGATCTTGGTACCCCGAGTAGAAATGTGTTCGAAACTCGGGTGTGGCGGCAATTTCCGCTGCTACATTGAAGTTGAGGTAACACCACCTGAAGCTAAAGCTCTCTGTGTCTTATACAGCTAGCCCAATGGCACCGACCGAACTGAAGGCCAATGCGTAGGGTATGTTCACACAGAAAATAGACTTACCGGACAGTAGATCTGGTGACAAATGTCCTCCAACAGGGGTTCGTCTCCCTCGTGTGCATGCTCACCGATCCAGATGTAGACCTGGTCGCGTCCAGCCGAGTTGCCTGAATGACTAGCCGGAATACGACAAATGTAGGAGAAACAGGAGTTCAAATTGGTCGGCGTCGGCTTCACCTGGGGGGAGCACAGAGCAACAGGCGAATAAAAGGTAACTAAGATTATGAAGGAGGAGGAGGAAGAAGTCTTCAGCATACATAGTCCATATTTTCATATGCCAGTAAACAAATTTGGTCGATTACAACTTAGTTAATAGGTCTACTAAAGGATTTTAGTAGGAAGAGGCAGGAAATAAAAATCACGCCAATAAGAGCATGACGTTTTCGTCTATAGTGAATGGATGGAACTGAGAGTCTGCATCTTTTGGTTTTTAATTAGATAGCAGGAGTACACAAGAAAATAAGGACTAATTTACAGGCCAGGTCACAAGGACGGCAGGTGATTTAGTCCTCCGAGGTCGCCGAGTCTTTTCAGTAGCCGGACAATTGGGCGTTGTACTTGCAACCAACGGGTCGTAGGTTCGAAACTAAAGTGTTGCATCAACTGAGGTCGAGTATGGCCGGCTGGTGATGGCCAGCAAGTCAGAAAAGGTCCTCTCATCCTAGTAGCACGTGTAGATAAAGTGGAAAAAATCCGGCATATGTATCAAGATTTTTCCAGTAGGATTCCATGATGGAATCCGCTTGGATTTGCTACTAGGGGGACGTGGATCAAGTAGACCCCGAACGGCTGGACTTGCCCATGATTACAGTTGTCCGTCCTTCGTCTGCTGGGACAATCATAATTTCATCGTCGCTCTTGAATTCACCAATGGCCCTTATCATCGTCAGAAGAAAGAAAAGCCAGTGAGACATTTAGAATGTCAAACTAGACCGGTTGGCGCGACAGACAAACCATTGACTTATGAGAGAGTGAGTCATGTCA